GAGGCTGAGGTGGGAGGATTGATTGATCCTAGGAGACAGAGGCTACAGTGAGCCACGATCACACCACTGCACTCCAGCCTGGGTGACAGAGCAAGACCTGGTCTCAAAAAAGAAAGAAAAAAAGAACGAGAGATAATAAACTTTCTTCTGAAATTATTTATAAAAAGTAAACCCAACCTTGAATTTGGGACCACAAATTAAATTAGCAAAGATGTATAAAGTCCGTAAATCAGCAATAATAGCGATCAGGATTTTGTGCTGGTCGTCTGCACAGTCCTAAACAATTTCATTCTGTTCTTATATCAACCCTTTTGAGGAAGGCTTTCTTTTTAAAAATAATCTACATTCTGCAAAGTGAATCTGAGGTTCAGGGAAGAAAATTAATTTGCCCAACATCACATAACTAGTATCACCTAGGATTTTTAGCATTGCATTTTCTGTTCGGGAAAATGGTTCCTGTGTCAAAATGCAGTTTGGTAAAACCAATAAATTTAAACTGCAATGTAATTAACCTAATCATTAGCTTTTTTCTTTTTGATAATAGGCTACTGAATTCAACCAATGGAAGAATGCTCTGTTTATCCTGCAGTTTCTCCTTTCCTGCTTTTTGGGGTAAGAAACCATAAATAAGTAGAAGCATTGGTCGACAGTATCTCTTGACAAGTCAAATCAAGATGTGCCTCTGTCTATTCTGTCAGAATCCCTTTGTGTTTCTCTGACTTTCTCTGGAAAGTCACCTCCCTGCAGCAAAGGAGGTGGCAGGACCTGGGATACCTGGAAACCCAGCCCAAAAGACCAGCAGCAAACATAAAACTGTGGTTTTTGAAAGTCATGCTAATGTCCCGTTCTCCAAAATACGATGTTGCTGATTGATTTCTGAAAGTTTGTCTGAAATGAAGTCAGCTGACATTTCGAGTTCAATGCCGAGGATTTTTTTTTTTTAAATAAAGAGATGGGGTCTCACTGTGTTGCCCAGTCTGGACTCAAACTCCTGGGCTCAAGCAATCTTCCTGCCTTAGCCTCCTGGTTAGTTGGGACTACAGGCTCTTGCCACCATGCCTGGCAGTAATACATTTTTGTCTTTGTCACCATGTCCTTAGTTTTTCAAGATCCCTTCTTCACGTAATTGTGTGGCTATGACAGCCATTTCCTATAGTGCTGTACCTGCTATAGTCAGGAAAATTTCTAAAGAGAGACATCCAGGCTATTCTATTGTCCAACAGTTAGGCTTTTTTGAGACAGAGTCTTGCTCTGTCACCAGGTGCCAGGCTGGAGTGCAGTGGCGCGATCTCGGCTCACTGCAACCTCTGCCTCCCGGGTTCAAGCAATTCTCCTGCCTCAGCCTCCCAAATACCTGGGACTACAGGCGTGCAGCACCACGCCCAGCTAATTTTTGTATTTTTTAGTAGAGATGGGCTTTCACCATGTTGGCCAGGATGGTCTCAATCTCTTGACCTTGTGATCTGCCCACCTCGGCCTCCCAAAGTGCTGGGATTGCAGGTGTGAGCCACTGCGCCTGACCGAAATTTTCTTTTTTTTGAGTCGGAATCTCGCTCTGTCACCTAGGCTGGAGTGCAGTGGCGCTATCTCGGCTCATTGCAACCTCCGCCTCCTGGGTTCAAGCAATTCTCCTGGCTCAGCCTTCTGAGTAGCTGAGATTACAGGCACATACCACCACACTCAGCTAATTTT